TCCTTCATTTCTTACTGTTAGAGACTTATATGTATCACCTGCTTTCTGTTTCTCTCTTCGAGAAAACAACTTATGGAAGCAGAGACAAATCTTAGATGTGAAGACGAATGGTGCACAATCATAACTAATGCACATTAGTTAAAACATGTCACTCAATATTAATTTGTGTGCTATTTTTATTAAAATAAAAATACAAAATCAATGTAATAACATATAATGAATTTAGTAACTATAATAGATACAACTTACTTTTGTGAGTTGTTTATTATTTATCTTCAATTTGTAGTTTGTACATGAGGCCGCTAGTTCAAAATTACCAACTCTCCTTATTTTTATCAATTTTTTTAAAGAAAAATCAACAAAAAGAAACATATTAAGTGGGATTCAAACTCAATTTCATCACCTCAAAACAAAGATATACTCAATATTTAAATCGATGCATTCAATTAGTTTTAGTATTATATTAAATTTATTAAAATATATCTTTTATTCAAGCTATATAACATATATATATATAGTTAATAGATACACTACTCTCTCAGATAAGTATGTGTGTCCGCCTCAAAATAGAAGCAACAATGATATAATATATAAATATTAATTTTTTCAAGATTCAATCCGATGATTGTTGTAGTTATTTTTTATAAAAAAAACAAATTTGTAACAATTTTTGGCTCATTAGAAAATACTAAATATTAATTTTATAAAATTTCTTTTACGAATTCGTCCTTAATGTGACGTCCCGCCATCTATCCAGGCAGATCGCCACCTATCCACGCAGATTGCAGCATGCAAATGGGGACAGGCGGCCCAAAAGTTCAGCAGACGAAGGGGCAGGCAGTCCAAGTGTGCAGCAGACGGAGGGACAGGCTAGACTAACAGCCATGAAGCTTGAGTGGGTCGACGAGAGGAAGAGGTTAACATTGGCAGCAACCATCGCAAGTTCGAGAGAAGACAATGGTGCTGAAAAGACCTTGCCACCGCGCATGAGGGTTCCAAGTAGGAACACTGCCATGATGAAAAAGAAGCTGCCCAGGCACTTGCCTCCTATGAAGGAGGAAGTTCGAAAGATCGGGTCGAGAAAGCAAGGGCAATCGATGAAGAGGCTACTCGAAGGGATTGATCGAGGACGCGAGTTGATGATCGCACGGTAAAAATCGACGCCGATACAGTCGCAATACGACGCGGTTGTCGCATCATTAGGTGGAGGAGATTGTGACGTCCCGCCATCTATCCAGGCAGATCGCCACCTATCCAGGCAGATTGCAGCATGCAAATAGGGATAGGCGGCCCAAAAATTCAGCAGACGAAGGGGCAGGCAGTCCAAGTGTGCAGCAGATGGAGGGGCAGCAGCCTTCAGCCTTGGAGAGGCTTGTGCAGGCCCTCTAGAACCTTGGGGCAGATTAGAGAAATCTAGGAGTCCCTTTTGGAAGAGTTAGAAACATTCTAGGAATGTAGACATGTCTTGAGTGCATGTACTTAGGGACTTGTATAACAACATTTATTTACTCTTAGTCATTAGAGTAGTATAAATAGGAGAGTCATTGTATTTGTAAATCATCCATCAATTGACTAATAAGATACAGTCCTCTCTTCCAAAATTCTGCCTTTTGTCTTTCTTCTTATTTCTCTTAACGATCCAAGTAGTAAAAGGCTTACTTGAGTTTACGAGATCGTGCAAAAATCGTGAGTAAACCGTCAAGTTCCGCACGAAGTCTTATCAGAATAAAAAAAGCCGTGACATTAAGGTCTTAAAAATTATAAAAATTATCATGCTAAAAAATGTCAAATGTAAATGCAATTTAGAAAATCATAATTATAACTCTAGTCTTATTACTTGTCAACTAAAAAAAAAAATCACATTTCTCATCCCCACAATTTTTAAATTATCCAACCTTTGTTGCACAAAAAAAATAAAAAATAAAGCATTACAATTTAAGCAAACTTAAAACAAAGGATAAAATAGTCATTTTATTATTCGCGCTTTCCCATAAAAAGAAATAGTATAAAAGTTTGAAACGTAAGAAGCTCACTCACTTAAGCTTCTTTGTCTTTTTTCCCTTCTGTTGCAGTTTTGTTTGTATTGCCTTTTTCTTCCTTCATTTAAATTCCATGTTATCTCCTTTTCATCATCGCCTTCTGTTTCTTCCCTCTTTAAGTTCCTTTGCTTCCTTCCTTCTCCTATAATTTGTATCAGTCAATTGATAGCTTTAATCAGTTTTCTTGTGCTTCTAATTCGGTTTCACCGGAAAACTTGTGAAAGCAGAGGCGAAAGCAATATCGATTTCTGTGCTGTTTGTATCGCCTCCTTCTGTTTCTTCTTTGTCTTGTTATTATCGGCGTCTGTTCTTCGTTCTAAGTTCCTTAGTCTCCTCCTCTATAGTTTGTATCGGTGAACGAAATCTGAAGGATGTCGACAGCTCCGGCCGGTTCCTGTGCTCCCATGATCGCCAGCGGTGAAATGGATTCGGTTTCAGCTGTTTTAAATGGTAACAAGGTGGAGATACTTGTTCCTTTAGAGAGGACAGCAGGTGGAAGCGGGAAGAAAGTGAGGGTTGAGGTTCCGAGGAACTGGTTGATTCCGTCAGCTAGATCGACGGATCATGCTCAGTTGTTGGTTCAGAACCACCAGAATTTCAAGGTGAGTGGGATGCCGGCGAGGATTATGATGTTTAAGGATGGATCGTGGGTGGATTTCGAGAAAAGTGCCATGGATGTGCTGGTTTCAGCTTTTGTGAGTGGCGAGGCTATGGTTGAGACGGTAATGGGAGGGTTTACATTCATTTTTGATTTTTATCGAATGATAGGAATCAATTTGGACAGTGGGAATGAGCTGCCCATAGCTTGGATTGATGTCGGTGGTAACAGTTTTTACCCTAAGGTCTTCGTTGAGGGTTCAGAAAATCTCGATAAAAACGAGGTAAATGTTGATGAAAAGTTCTCCTCGGAGAATGGTAAGGTTGAATTTGAGATAAAAATCATTGAGAGGAACTCAGCTGGAGAGGTGTTAGGAAAGAGGAAGATGGGAAGTGAGGAAAACGAAGTGGTGAGGGAAGTAGGAAGTTCCTCTAGGGATGTGATAGAGCAGCGTGTTGTCTCTACACCTACTGAATTGCTTCCACCGAAGTGGCCTAGAACAAGGTCATTGGGGAACGAGGAGGAAAGCTATCGGAAGGCAAGTAGTTTACTGATTTCTATTTTGAAAGTTGGTGTTACAGTCACTGCTGTTCATCAGTGCACTAGAACCGGGCCAGTGGAACAGGCCCGGTTAGAAGTTTTCGTAAATAATGCGAAGATAGTGAAGAGAAGGAGAGGGGACCCCAGTGTTCAGTATGCCTGGTATGGTACATCCTCGGCAAAAATTGATAGTATCATGCGGCGCGGTTTTGAAATGCCAAGAATCATACCGGGTATTCAGACTCACGGTGTTGGTATATACATGTCGCCTTTATACTCACCTCAAAAGAGGTATGCGCTGCTCTTGAACTAGTTGATTATTTGTGTTTTCTTAATTGTTGCTTATGCTCATTTATTTTTTGGTACTTGTTATTGGTTGTGTGTGCAGTCACATGATGTGCGAGGTAGATGAAAATGGTGAAAAGCATATCATGTTATGTCGAGTTATAGTGGGAAAGCTCGAGAAGGTTGAGTTAGGATCTCAGCAGCTGTTTCCGTCAAGTGCGGAGTTCGATACTGGAGTTGATGACTTAATCAATCCAAAGCTGCATGTGATATGGTGTAGCAATATGAACACCCACATTCTACCCATATTTATAGTCAGTTATAAATCTGGCTGTCATATGTCAGGTATGTATTGCTCCTTTTCATTATACATTCCTTTCAATTACTTTTAGTTGTTGCAAGAGAAACGGAACAGTTAAGTGTATTTATACAGGTTGACTGAATGGTAGTGCTCATAGCGCATTGATTCTATAGATTGTATAGCTCCAATCAGGTAAGTTTGGATTTCCCTTTTTAACACTGGTTATTCAAGTAATTATTATATACATGTGATGAATCTGGTTTTAAGACCATAATTTTGATCTTGACTTCTAATACAAATTGTTCACAGGAAGGCAAAGTAGGAAAAAGAATTTCATGACAGTTACAATCTCTTGTTGGTGAGGACTTGTTGCATTCAATTATTCAGGAAGAAGTTGTTTTAGTGATGAAATGGGATGTTTTCTCGTTGATAAGTCCAACTTGTACAAAAGAAGTTGTTTTAGTGATATTATTAAAAGGCTCAGGATGTTTTTGCCTTTTAATGAAGTAAAACCTGTTCAAACAACTACCTCTGGAATTTTGGTTGGAAATCGTCTAGCTATAATGTGCACATCCCGCCTAATTTAAGTGAGGAGGCTTGAGTATGGCTTCACAGAAATATGAGTTCTTCATGTTCTTTGGATATTGTGTGGGCCTTCTCGTGTTTGGATTTTAACCTTTTCCTTTTTATTTTATCTATATCACTCTATGGAACTTGGGAGACTTTTACATATATTTTGCATATATCTCTACTTGCCAGAAAGAAAATCACATTCATTTGATCACGATCCTTGTCAGAATTAGCTGCTTAAGTTGGTCGTTGATATTTCCTATGCTTTGAAATGGTTATTTAATCAGGGCCTTGCTTTACTCGTGCATGATGCATATACGTAGTGTTGCATGTGAGTAGTTTTTTATTTGAAACGCTCTATGTTAGTGAAGCTCGAGGCATGAATTCTAGGACGTGCCTGATTTTGAGTTGTGACTAGGATGCTAGACTATGTTAACAAACACACCCTTCAATTTATGTGACTTAATTTTAAGTTTGTTCCAAAAGAATGCTCCCTGTTTAAATTTGGGAACAATTTATGTGTAACTTCCCACTCTTACTTTGAAGACAAGCTTTTATAGCCACATACTTCAACTATGTTCAGGTCTTTGGATTTCACTGGAAGAAGAACAGTAGAAATCTTCTTTCAGTTAACTGATTTCCTGCTTAATCATGTGTGTATTATGCCACGGGGTGGGAAGATATATATATTGCCTGTTCTTAGGGTGAGATAAGATCTCATTACCACTTGGAGGTCCTTGCATAGTCATGATAAAGGTAAAATATTTAAGAGAATGTTTTAGCAATTTTCATAAATAAATTAACTAGAAGCAACTTATGTGATCAGTTGTTGCTTGTGGATTAGAAGTTAACAATCTGTCTATGACACGTGGCAAATATGACTGTGGAGTAAAATGTGGACACTAGGTGCTTACCCTCATGCTTGTGTTGCTGATTAAAAGATGAGTAATTTTCCTTTAAATGAGGTAGGTGTACTTGCATGTCTAGTGGATGCTTTAACTTCTCAAGGCTGTCTGCTTTTAATGGAATTAGGGTTATATATCTAGTTATTTTCAGTGTAAGAATGGAAAATTACTGGAAGAAGTTCTGTATCAGATATAGTTGAGGTTATAACAGTTGATGGCTAGCGGCAGTAGTGCGTTTGTAAATTATGTCAGCATACAGGGGTATCATGTTTTTCAGCACACTACTTTCCTTTATACAAGAATGCAAAGTTTTTGAATGTTTATATTGATCTATACTATTCACCAACTACATGTACCCTGGATCATATCCTCTATTTGCTGGTTTGCATATTTAGCTTGATGAATGATTCAAAGATGCTTAACTGGGTTAATAAGTCTCTACTCGTAAGTTGTAGAGGGCATAACAGATAGTTGGCAAAATAGGACACATGAAATGTGATTTCAACCTTCCATTGATGGCCAACCAGGGCCAACTTTATTCTTGAACTCAAAACTGAATAAAAATCTATTTGGGTTGGGTTTTATAAATGAGGAGGTTTTCAACTTAGTTTTCTATTGGAAGATCTTCCTAGTCTTAGTGCCAAATCTAGCTACATAGCAGTAAGAAAACCATAATTTCTTTGCTGTGCTTATATTCACTTCGGTGTATTGCAGTTTTTGTTTGTTCAGTTACTTTGTGAGCGTCTCCATCTGTTTGTTATTTCTCTGGAATAGACAGTAAGTTGGGGGTTGACCTTATATTCCTTTCGTTCGGCACAAGGTTCAAGAATCAGTTAGATGTTTCTATCCATATCATAGATGTTGTGTACCTTCACTTTGACTCTTCACTTTTTCTTCTAGTACATATGTGACCCTCAACCTGTATTTTTTGCCAGCTCACATACTGTTCTTTCAAATAATTGTAGAGGATTAGTGTAATTTGAGCACTTTAGTCGGAATCCAATGGCAAACATCTTTGTTTCATGCAGAGTTTAAGACAGAATAAGATGGAGAAAAGTGGAAAAAGATCATAAATTGGTATTTGATCCATGTTATTAGTATATCTTGAGTGAGCCGCCTTTTCTTGTAAATTAGATGCTACAACAACTATAGGCCTTAGTCCCAAACAAGTTGGGGTCAGGTATATGAACTTTCACTGACCATGTTCTCCATTGAAGCTCAATCCATATCATTATCGTACCAAACAAAGTTAAATGTAATAGAAGTAATTGTAGTAGTACCAATAGTAATAATAGTAGTAATATTAGAAGTTCTCTATATTTTCACTGGCATATATAAATCTATCATAAGATCAAGATAAACCTATGAAAGCAGTAGATTCAAATTAGCGTACTAACAAGACTAAAACTTATTCCCAACTAGTAGATATGACATATATGGAACCTTTTTTTATTTCTCTTAAATTAGATGACTTGGTGAAGTTATCTTGTGGGTTTTCACTTCTCTCGCTGGTGGAATGTCAGTAGTGAAAATATTGTACTTTGCTGTCATTTGAATGATGCAGTGGTTGTTATTTTTTCCATTTCCACCTTTAACTACCATTATTCCAAAAGATATCTCATCTTCCTTTTTCACGATACACACGTTGGGTAGTATCTATTGTACAGCCTTGAAAAACATGAGTTTGGTCTTTTCACCATCACTTATTTCAATGAGTTTCAACAAGTTTGTATGTTTTCTTCGCGGGCACCCTTCTTGCTTGATTGTCCAAATAGTGAAAGCACTATTATGAACTGCTAATCTTAATCAAGCTTTTAATTTCATGATGGTGTTCATGGAATCATCAATGTTTGTCATGATTTCTCATAAACACGCACTGTTGAATTTCCCTACAAATGAAATAATTACCAGAAAGGTGTTCTGACAAGTTAAATAGCATGAATGTGGATATATAACATAGAGGCTAAAATTCTCCATGTATCAACTAGTTGCAACTGATCTGAATTGCTGAGTTTCATATGAATTCCTTTTTGATATAACAGATTATTTATTTAAGCATATTTGTCATCCTCTTATAATTTGGAGTAATAAGTGATGATTGTTGGACTACGAATGCAGTATGTTGAAGACCCATGAGTTTATCTAGATTTATTAGGTAGTTATTAATGTTTCATTATGGCATGTATTTTTTTGAAACTAATAACGTTTGTATTTCATATAGTTCTTAGGTAGTACTGGAAAACCATATTTACAAATAAGCAGAAAGTAAGTACAATCTATCCAAAAACTGAACCAATTCTAAATGGACCCTAAAACATCTATGATTGACTCAGTTTCATTGGAGTAAACATTTTACACCAAAAGCAAGAACAACAAAATACACTTAAGCTTCACTTCCTGCAGGTTGTTGTTCCTATTATCAAAACATCTCGTTTCTCTCCCTCCATATAGTCCACCAAATACAAGCAGGGATCATCCTCCATCTTTTTCTGTTTGTAGCCCCCAAGTTCAGCCATCTCCCGATTGAATAGAGTCTCATGAATCTTGCTAGGCATGCTCCCAATATATTGAAATGAGTGTTTTACCATAATACTCATATTAATTGATGTTTAATATTAGGTCTTGGAAAATGATTTGGTGAATAAGTAATTAATGCTAAGGGTAAAACATGGAAAAAATTAGTTGTCTTTATAAAAGTGACAAGTAAAAGTGAATATCTATGTTTGGAATGGTGGACAAAAGTGAACGAAGGGGGAGTACATCTTAAATTTCAATTAAATTTTAGTTGTTTAATAGATCACAGTACACTACAAGAATCTGATTACCAGAATCTGAGTACTAATTAGATACTCCCTTAGGTATATCTTTAATGACTATAGGTCATCTTCTGTTCTACTCAATGTTACCTTATCTAAAGAGTTATTGAAAGGGACAAAAAGCTGACCTGTCCTATTACATTTTTTTCTCTTCAGTTAAAAGAACATTTTCTCTGTCTTGTTTCTCCTCGTAACGGTCTTGTGGATTTTTTTTCAGGCTGTAATCTTCTTGGACTTGGATAATTCATGTAAGAGTGCCCATTGTATCAGTTTGTTTCTTCATTTTATTTATCATAAACAGCACTTTTACATAAGTTCCCTTGCCAATGAAATAATTACCGCAAAAGAAATGTGGCAATTTAAGCAACATGAAAATACAAATATTTTATAAAGTAGCTTGCTAAATTTACCGTGTATTAATTACTTGTGACTTGTAAACATGCTGAGAATCATAATAAATTCTTTCTTGGTTATATTTGAGAAGTTCTTCCTTAGCGGTCTCCATTAACTCATGAGTGACATAGCGAAGACTCATTAGTTTTGTCCAGATTTATCCGGTAGTAATAACTTCAATACTCACGTTGGTTGTTTGTAAAGAATAAATACACATGACAACTTTGAAATTTTTTTTTAGCTTTTAATAGTTTACAGTACATTATAAATCTGATTATGCACAATAATGGAACAGTATCTGATTTAGTGAATTTTACACCTGATTAATTACTCTTTGGGCACATATTTCACATGGCTATAATCTAATTTTTTGCTCTTTGCAATCGTACCTTTGCTTATTATCTATTCAAAGGATGAAAATGTTAAGCTATTTTGCACACTGCTTTTTGACTGTGTGTCGTCTCTCCTTCGGTATAGGTCTTACTGACTACTCATTAGGCCCACGACCTTCTTGGACTTGGATGCTTTATGTTAGGGCGCACAAGATATCAGCACTTGTCTCCTAATTTGATGGAGTTGTTTCACTTCTCAAAGGTTTTCATCACTATTCGTTCGTCATATCATTGTTATATGAAGGAGTGGAAAAGGAAAGAGATCACATTCTTCTTCGACTGTTGTCTGATCTCTTGTCACTCACATTAACTGGTTAACTAACGTCTTTGCAGGGCTAAGACCTTTTGGACCTAATTGTTTCACGTATTAAGGTACTCCGGTACAAGTTCCTTTTGCTTAATTTTCTGTGTTTATAATAAACTTCGGATAAGTGTCTTGTAGAAGAAGAAAGTTACTGCATTTTTTCTCAATGTCTCATCAGCTGATCGAAATATCACAGAATCTAGTGAAGGTGAGGTGAGTGTGAAAATCTTAGTGATTGGATGGCCTGAAAAACTGTACTTAGCACGTTTTGCTTTAATGAGCAAGCAAAGACTATGATGCAAGTGAGGTGCTAATAGTTCAGTTGTATTTCCATATCTTTAGTGAAGCTTTCTTATGGCTGGTTGCTACATGAAAAAAAATGTGGTCATCTTTCATGAGCAAAATAGTGGGCTCCAAGCTTCCCCTTTTGCTTTATTCTTGAAGGTTTATCTGTTATTTTCTTGACCAGCTATCATCTACACAATTGAAGTGATTGGTCCAAGTATATTCTTTCCAACAGATTATCTTGTCCTAGCATGCAAGATAGTTGGTTGTCACTTGCTGTTGCTTCATTATTCAGGTTCATCTTATATTTGTCACCAGCTGTTGCTTTATTCTTCAAGGTTTATCTGTTATTTTCTTCTCCGGCTATTCATCCATGCCACTGAAGTAATTGGTCCAAGTATGTTCTCACCGACAGGTTTTGTCCCAACATGCAAGGTAGTTGGCTGTCACCAGCTGTTGCTTCATTCTTCAAGTTCATTTCACAGTGTCACAGGTGTTTGTCTTGAGTGCATTCTTTTCATCAGGTTCTGACACAACCCCCCCCCCTTTTCTAGCTGCCTTTCCTTTTGACTTTGTTCTGATTGCTTGGCTAGAAGGTGTATTGGTTGTGGGGGAGGACTGCAGAATAATAGTTAATGGATTGTCATTACGTAATCCCCATGTGGTGGTGCTTTTGTTGCTCCTTACTACACTAGTGGCCTCTGAAGGATCAGAACCACAATTTTTAGCTGGTAGTCCTGTCTAAACTAATTGAGATAGATAGAGGATATGTCAAAATTGAGATGGGGGAGATAAAAAGGAAGGCCTATCTGTGTTAATCAATAAACATCATAATATAGTCCACAAATTGCAATAGAGAAATTAATCTGAAAATAATCATTTCATATTTCACGATAGCATGTTAGTCCTTGAGTATTCATTCTGTTAGCGAAAGAAGTTTTGCGATTTTCTGTCACACGGCGGAGATGTAGAAATTAAAACCTTACAATCTATTTTGAAAAAGAATTGGTAGGACTAACTCATCTTTAAAAATAGAATTTAAAACCTTACAACCTATATAGAAGAAGAATTGGTAGGGACTAAGTCCTTTTTAAAACCAGTAGTTGATTTTGAACCTACACTCAAGTCTCTCTAGGAGTTCGGCGCAGGTATTTGATTAATTCTATGGTTTGGACCATCTCAGATCTGCTACATGTTGGTACGTAAATCAGATATTTCATGTTGATGTTGATCTGGAGAGCAGTTTTGGCGGGTATGTATGGTGTGTTAACATTCTTTCAACTATCTTCATAAAAATATATTGTTTGACAACCAAAGTTTACCATTGCAAAAGAGAACAGGATATTTTCACCTTTTACTGTCATCCATTAAGCTATGTTTATACTGCTACTGGTCTGAGATTGCAGATGTATTCTTTGAGGGTCGAGGTTTACTATGTCATGTTAAGACATGCAAGATTCATCAATAATCCGTTGTAGTCTAGTCGTTAGGATACTCGGTTCTCACCCGAGAGACCCGGGTTCAATTCCCGGCAACGGAATGAACATAAACATGACATACTAAACATTGGGTCGGTTTCATTTTTCTGCTACAAGAAGTGTAATATTGTTGTAGATAAACAAGGAAGATATGATCTTATGAGTCCGATGCCTGCAAAGATAAATACAGTCTAATGTGAGTATAAATAATTTTCGAATGAAATTTTGTAACAGTACTGAATCCTAGTCTTTTGAACTCAATTTGCAGGCAGTTAGATACACGAATTATCTCGCGTTGGTATCCTCCATGTGGCGCAACGTAAGCAGTTTATTCTTGTGGCAAACATGAACAATCTATCTGATGCTTTAAGGTGCTCTTTCATAGACTTAAAAATAGATTGGCAGGACCTCTGGTTTATTTTTTCAACTGATCTGCATCTCTCCGAAGCCTCCGTTTTTTGTATATAAGTTTAACATGTCATTGCTCTATATAGGGGCAAATCGAGTCAGTTGTATCCAGTGAATTCTGCAAAAATTCTAAGCAAGTTGATGGTAAGAATTTTATTTATATCGATCGAGTACTTACTTGGTCGTGGTAACACACAACTTGATCAACTCAAAAGCCCTGATACAGTTGGATTGTCATCATTGAGTGTTGATTCTTCACAAACAACAGGTTCATCCTCCTAGATTTTGTAAAGAAACCACTCTTTTTTCAACTTTTGCAGGTGTTGGTTGATTATAACATCTCTTTTGCTGGGATTATCATAGAGTATTACTTCTAGGATTCAGAAACATTTATATGGTGTTAAAAGGGAATTTTCATCGAGGCTTTAGAGATGGAATAGATTACATGTACTTTTCTTCAATAAAAATTCAAGCTTAGTAGAGAAATTCTTTATAAGCAAAAAAAGAAATTCTAAGAAATGGCTAGAATTTGAAAATAATGGAAGATGAAATTTGGAAAATCTGGTCAAATTTTATAGTCAAAATAGTTAATTGATAATAATTTTATGGCAAAATCTGGTCAAAATTTTACTGTCAATTGTTAATTAATGATATTTTTTTTTATATAAATTATAGTCAAACACTAGTTAAATCCTACGCTTGCACGTGAATAGAATAAAAAGAACACAAATATTCATAAAGAAATTATATAATTAAGTTACAAACAACACATCAACTTTGCAGAATATACTGAGAATTTTTTGTTAGATACTCAAGGATCCTGTTTGATATTGATACATATAGTTTTACTTATATAGATGCAAAAATGTGATTTCCAAAATCTTGTTGAGGATATTTACAAAAAAAGAGAACGAATATTTATTAATTCAGAATATAAATAAAATATGTTATCTTGTTGTGTTGAATTTTTTTTAGAATCACTCATTCCTATTGTTGATTATATTTATAATATTTATTATATCCTGAGAGATTCAATGCACAATATATATGCCAATAAAAAAAATTATGACCGAAGATTGGAAGCTTTGATACTCAAGTAGCGTGGAACACTCATTTATTTAACCATTAAATTACTCTATCGTCTTTTTTTAGTTGTATTTAGGTAGTACATATTACTCAATAATGAATCATTTTTATTGTGTCAAGCTAGAAATATATGTCAAGGAGATCAAATAATTTATATATAATTTTAAAAAAAAACAATATTACCATTCAATCAATAATATATAGTTATTTACCACTCTAAAATTCATAAATATATCCTAGACTCATCAAAACAGTAACAAAAACAAAATCTAAGAAGAAAATACATATATAGTAAAAGGAAAGTCATAAATGAAAGAGATTTAAGCTCCTAACTCTTTTTTATCTGATTATATATCGCATTTCATTTGCTCAAACTAGAAGATAAATTTCGCTATTACTATTAAGAAGTAATCGACGGATAGTTATTTCTTTTAGATTATTAGTTATGTTTTAGTTAACGTTGACTCAATTTTGTTTATCACGTATTTCATTTTTAACTTTTCAAAATATTTGATGTTGATGTTCATATTTTTATAAATAAAAAACTTATGGTTGATTTTTATGTCAAGTGTGAATATTAATGTATTTCTTGGAATGTACGGGATTATACTAGGCGAAGAGTAGTCCGCAAATCTGGTGGACACCTTTTATAGAAAAATTATTTAGGGCACATAAGTTAAATATGAACTGTTTATGAGATTATGTTTAGTTTTGCATCTCTCTATTAATTTTTTTTGGTCATTAATTCCATGTATGGTTTGTCATCACACCCAATTTTTCTGGCATATATATATGCCTCTAATTAACTCTATCGTAAAGAAATGAAAAGGAAACTTAACTTAAAAAACATGCATCTGGTTTTTATACAAATATTACGTACATTGATCAAATAAATATTTACAGTGGATTTGATTAGGATTCAACTTGAGTATAAAATATTAATCTTGGCATATATAAAATCTCATTTACTTAATTAAGTAGTAACTTTGATTAAATTTAAACCCAATTGATAACTAGTGGAGCAAACACATTTAACTAGGTGTCAATTTAATAAATATCCCTCTTGAAAACAAGACAAAACCATTATATAGTTTAGGCCTATTCTTCTACTTTTTTATTTTAATTTGTTTTCATAGATTGTGACAAGGATGAATTAAACAGATAAGTTAGCAAAAAGCAGGCCTAATGATGAGGTAACCTTTATGAGACATTATCTCAACAAATTGTTAATTAATTTAACATGTCATGAAGGATTAGCATAAATTTTAAAAATTGTAATATGTTGAGATAGCTTCATTTGTTTAGTTCATAAATGGATTGGACTAGATTACTTTTAATAATTAAATATTTGATAAGGCAAGGACCTTATAAATAGTCATTAGTGAACTTGAAAGATTATCGAAAAGTTGTTAATCGACAAATAACATGTCATGATCATCGAGAAGTTGTTAATCAATAAATAATATGTCAAGATCATGTTGTTTAGAAATTGAGATGGAGAACTGGATGGATGTGTACAAGGTTTTTTTTACTTTTGGAATAACTTCACTATTGCAATTTTTATCTAAGTTTAGCTGAAAGAAATGAAATTTATTCGAATAAATTTGTACACACCATAATTATGAAATTATTTATCCATATAGAAAGAAGGATTATAATCCTGATAATTATCACGAGATAACTTATTAATTTCAACCAAACAACCCCGGTAATTACAAAGTTTAGTGTAACATATATAATCCCAAAATACAGAAACAATTTGGATGATAATTATAAAAATAAAAAAAAGACCTAACTAAATTAGCTTAAGGGTTTAGTATATGGCAATCAAGAACAAATAAGACAATTGTTAATTTAATTGAAATGGGACCCCGTGTAGCTAAGCATAATTATCAACTTGATTCGTTAATAAAAATATGTCATCTTCAGATTAATTAATTATAGGAATACCAAACCCAACAATTAAACATTTTTCTTAATTAATCAATACTCGTACAAGGTTACTATTAATTAATTAAAGATTAGCAAATGATCAACTCCCTTACTACTTGAAGTGAAGTACTGAAAAGTACTTGTTAGATTTAAAGTAAGAAAAATAAAAATGCAGTACGAAAATATCATTTTTCAAGTTGCAATAAATCAAATATATACTACTATATGATAACGATTAACAAATATCATGGTGACTAACTATAATTGTCATGAACCATATATTTAGTTGTACATACACGTAGAAACTACATTGACGCAGACACATATTAATATTAATTATTGGAGAACTAGACAATATATCGAAATTGATAAGTCAATTGTAAAGTTAGCTTATAGATTTATTAGTATTATGTTATGGATTAACAGTTGGTAAACATATTAAAATTCTATAGTTAACAGTTTATTGGTTTAGGAATGGATTACTCAATTTTCTTATTGTGTAAATCATTAACCCGCTAATAATTATCATTGTTGTATTTTTACCGTAAATATGTTTGTTAAATAAATATTTTTGTACATGAATCCTCAAAATTTAGACTTCTAGTATATATTTGCTACTATAATTTTCAATTACATAACTACTAGCGATTAATATATTGGTAAATGAAAATAAAAGAAAGGAGTGTGAAATAATAGAGTCAATACACCAAATATAACCACTCATTAATTATTAATTCCATATAAAATCAATCGATAATTTATTGATTGCGTTTAAAAACTGATATTCGTTAATGTTAAATCATAAACATAATTATCCATCCGATTCGTCTAATAAGCAACCCTAATATATACAAAACCATTTATAAATCCTTCCAAATATGAAAGTTACAACTTACACAGTATATATATATATATATATATATATATATATATATATATATATATATATTATT